ATTGATTTATATCCTGAAACTATGGAATATGATCCAAAAGGACATTTTATTGCAGCAGTTGGTGGTGGTGATTATAATATTTATGCAGCAGTTCAATGCGTTCAAAGACTTATGGTAGTGGTGAAGAATTAGTTTGGAGTTCAACAAGTGGATGTTATGCAGTTAGATCTAAATCTAATGAAATTAAGATTTACAAAGATTTTAAAGAATTTAAAGTATTTAAACCATTCTTTACACCAAAACAAATATTTGGTGGACAATTATTAGGTATTTCATCAAAGGAATTTATTTGTTTCTATGATTGGGAAACATGTCAAATGATTAGAAATATTGGTATTATTCCACGTAAAGTATATTGGAATGATGATAGTGTTTTAATTGCAAGTGAAAATGAATTTTACTTGTTGAGATATAATTCACAACTTGTTAAAAATGCTTTAAAAACAAGAAATCCAGAAGAAGAAGATTCACAAATTGAAGATTCACTTATTTTAGAATATAATATTGAAGAAAAGATTCGTGAAGGTCAATTTATTGGTGAAACATTTATTTATACAAATAATGATTCTAGATTGAATTATGTTATTGGTGGACAAGTTACAACAATAACACATTTAGAAGATTCTAAACATTTCTTTTTAGGTTATGTTTCTAAACATAATAGAATTTATATTATGGATAAGGAACGTAATATTCTTAGTTTTAGATTATTTGTACAAGTTTTACAATATGAAACTTTAATTTTAAGAGGTGATTTAGAAACTGCAAGTTTATTATTACCTCAAATTCCAAAAGATGAATATAATAGATTAGCTAAATTCCTTGATCAACAAGGATATAAACAATTAGCAATGCAAGTTACACAAGATGATGAACATTGTTTTGAAATTGCAATTCAATTAAATGATTTACAAAAAGCCTATGAAATTATTAAAAAGAGTAAATCAGCATTAGAAACTAAATGGAAACAATTAGGTCAATTAGCTTTATCACAATGTAATATTGAATTAGCAAGAGAATGTTTTGAATTGGGTAATGATTTTGGTGGATTATTATTATTATATTCAAGTATTGGTGATCGTGAAGGAATGATTAAATTAGCAGAAATGGCAAAGAATAATTCAACTACAAGTTATAACAATATTACATTTATGTGTTATTATTTATTAGGACAAGTTGATAATTGTATTAATTTGTTAATTGAAACTAAACGTTTACCTGAAGCTGCTTTATTTGCTAGAACTTATGCTCCTTCTCATGTTTCAAGAGTTGTTCAATTATGGAGAAGTGAATTAACAAGTGATAATCAAAAAGTTAATTCTCAAAGATTGAAATCTATTGCTGATTCACTTGCTGATCCAATCGATTATCCAAATATGTTTAATAATTTTGGAGATTCTTTACAAGTTGAAAAATTTATGAATAGAGATTTTTATACAAAATTACAAAATAATGAACTATCTTCAAATCAATATCAAAATATTAAGAAATCTTTATATAACACTGATTGGATTGAACAATATAAACAAGAAGGTGAATCTCAATTTAAAATTAATTATATTCATCAAGAAGTAGAAGAAGTACAAGTTGAAGAAAAGGAATCATCAACTACTCCAATTGATACCACTACCACTACAACTACTCCACAAGAAGAATAAGTGATGATGGTAATGATAAGATGAGTGTAATGATAAAGATTGAAACATTATGTAAAAGTATTATTATATTATTAATAAAAAGTCAAGTTAAAAAAAATGATTGAAAAATTGAATCAATTATTTAATAGTTTAATGTCATCACAACAAAAGATGAGTGAATTGTCATTATTTGGAAAGTTATCATCTTCATCATCACTGACACAAATATTAATATTTATTATTAGTATTATAACAGGTGGATTCCGATATTATCAAACAATTAATAGAAAATCAATAACATTTAATTCAATACCATCACTACAATCATCCAATAATAATAATTTATCATCATCAAATGTAAATAATCAACAACAACAACAAATAAGGAAAGTATTAACATCACCTTATTTTGGAGAGAGACCACATTATTTTCTACCACCATCAGATGTAGAACAATACAGAAAAACCATCAGTAATAATTCTAATAATTCTAATAATTCTAATTCCAATAATAATAATAATAATATTAAAAAACAAATAGAACATTATTATATTCCATATCCGAATGATCCACCACATACATTTCCATCAATCAAGGCTAGAAATTTATTTACAAAATCACCTAAAAAATTAAGTCAAATTTATATAGAAAGAATTGATCCTATTAATAGATCTAATTTAAGAACAGGTGCTAAATTAAAAGTACCTTTACAACAATTAGAAGAAAGATTTAGAACTGTTTATTCAAATGCAAATGAAAATGGTTTAGAAATTACTATTAATAGTAAATCAGATAAACCTTTTGAAAAATTAGG